AAAAAACAATTATCAAACCACTGTTGAAAAAAAGCAGCTTGAATAAACTGGTCCTGCAGAACTACAAGCCTATCTCAGACCTCCCCGTCATCAGTAAGATTATTATTATAAAAAGCTGCTCCAAGAGCTAGACTACCTGCTTCTACATCTTCCAATGAGACTTTCTTCCTCACCACAGTGCAAAGACCATCCCTGTTAAGGTGTTCATTGACATCTGTATAAATTCAGACAGTGAAGAAACTAGACTAGTTGTAATATTGGACCGTATAGTGCAGCATTGGACACTGAAGATCACTCCATTATATTATAGCGCCTGGAAAACTGGGTCAGCCTGTCTGGTACAGCATTGGTTTAAATCCTTAATTAAGGGGCAGAGATTTTTGTTGTTGTTGAGTGGGTAACAGATCAGAGACCACAACAATACCATGTGGCGTTCCTCAAGGGTTCATCTTAGGGACTTTAACTTTTATGTAAATAAGAATTGAATAAATTGCAAAAAGGATATGAACATGGAAGGTTAAAAAGAAAATTGATATGGAAAAAATTTTAGGAATCCAGTGTGTGTGGGCTGTTTGTCTTTTTGTGTTCTCTCCCTCCACCACCAGGTGGCGTCCTGTCCTCCCACATACCTGCGGCTGGTTGTGCTCATTACTGAGGACTCCTAAGCGGTGGACTGCCACTACCTCGTCTCCAGAGTGCTTGCCAGTTTTGGGTACTCTAGCCAAGCTGAGTTTTGCTGAGTTTAACTGAGTCTATGTTTATCTGAGTCTAACATTGTTTTTTTTCTTTGCCTTTTCGGCAGGAAGTCATCCCGCAAACTGGATTTTTTGGCCTTCTCCCCCTGGAAGGATTGTCTTGAGCTTCACACTGAGCAGGGGATTAATGTCCACACGACCCGTTCAAATTCTCCTGGAAATCGAAGTGGCAGTCCGCTCCATTGCTTCTCAAGGAACCAGCCGATTTGCAAGACGTTGTTAAAAGTTCCTACGGTCCCTGAACTTACCTCTGAACTTCCCTTCTCACTTCCAGTTCCGGTGCACCAGCTCTCTGAGTTATCCTGGATCAACCTTATTTAATATTTCAATAAACCTGTTAAACTTTTCCTCTGGTTCTCTGAGTGGTTTCCTGCATGTGGGTCAGATCTCTTAAAAACATCATGACAAAAAAAATATCTTTTTTAATATTTGATTAAAAAAAAGGTATTTATAATCAGAGTTATGAGTTGTCATTTTTTGAATACTTTTTTTACTTGTACCCCTACATTTTTTTCAAAATAGATTTTATATTTAGATATTTTTCAGTTGATGTTTCATCTTTTCAGACTCCATAAACATTGTGAAAGACCATTAATATGTATCAGGTACACTCAAATAAAAGACACAAATTGAAAACTATTCATTTATTTTTTAATCATATACAAACAGAATCGATTTGAAAATACAGAGATTGTGCTCTTTGGCTTTAATATCCAGATGAGGAGTCCAAAGCATCTGAGTCGTCTTCTTAAGCATTTCATTCAGCATCCCGTGGTCCTCGGTCTCTTTGAAGCTCACAGCTGGAAGCCAACACATGAGGAGGCTGATGGGAGATTACAAAGAAAATATAAAAGAACATGATGGTCAGAATAGAGAGGATGATGTAAAAGAATAAGGAGAGATGATGTTAAGCTGCAGATACGAGCCTGAACTTGCATTCATCTAACACCTGAGAATATCTCCTTCTAATATTCATCTGAGACTGGGAAAAAAAAAAAAAAGGAAAAACAGCTCAAAATTTTTGTCTGAGTCATGCAACACGTCACCTGAGCGGGTGCAGCTCATTTAGGAGAAAATGACATTGTTATGTTGTGGTGTTTTATATGATTAATGACCGTGGCTGATGGTTCCTCCGCAGCGAAGCCAAAATAATCACCGCCGTGTTTCCGGCTAATGATCGTCTTTTTATCCTTCAAGCTGTGCTCTAAACACATTTGGGTTTTTCTTTAGGCATTCATATAAACACAAATAAAAAAAATGTATGAAAGAAACATATTTGATATTTCTTACTTTTAACCTTCTAATGAAAGAATGTCATACATTAAATATAATTTGAAAAGAAACAAACATATCTTCTCACAGTTTACATTGAATGAGACTAAACTTCATCTATTTAGGGCAGTTCAATGCATTTTTTTTTTTACGAGTTTCTCACAGAACCAGTAGAACTGGTTCAGATCCATACGTAGTTGGGAGAGTTTTCCTCTTTTTTTAATCCCAATATAATGGATTAAGCTTTTATATTAGAAAGCTTTCGTGAATCTCTCTTTACAAACTGAAAAAAAAAATCCGTAACAGATTGCCAGAACCTCATGCTAAAAAAACAACTTTTTATATCAACCAAGGGATTAAAAGGTACTGCAAATACAAAAATTAGACTAGCAAACACAAAACTAGATTAACAGATAAAAAAAATATGAAAAATGATAGAAAGTTGTTTGTGAGTTGATGATCATCTCCCCCTTGTGGTCTGGAGCAAATCTGTTATCAAGACCTAATTTGCAGCTTGTCTAAACTTGATGTTTTTTGTTTTTTGTTGTTTTTTTATTTGCAACATTTTTCATTTTCATATGATTTTTGTATTTGTTATGTTTCTGCAGCAGGCTTGCACTTATCTTCTTTCCATTTTTAGCGACTGCAGAATTTCCCTTTTGTATTTTTCCTTCTCATGTGTTTTATGTGTTAGTTTTATTAAGTAGTAATATTTCTTACTTGGCAGTGCTTTTATTCATTTGCTAGCCATTTATGTATTTTAAATGTGTTTGCACACCTCTATGGAGGGGGAAAAACACAACTGAAAATGCAAGAGGAACAAAGGAAACAGAAATGGGAAAAGGAATTATGTTTAAAAATGTCCTGATTCCTGATTCAATATATCAGAAATCTATTTGATATCCAGCCAAAAAATAAATCAAAATATATCAGCCTATATGAGAGCTCATAGGAACACTTTTATCTGCTTTTGTTTACGTTTATCCTTAGATGAATAAGAAATGGGTCATTTGTTCTCATACCTGATGTTGTTGGGTATTGTTTTCTTTTTGAGAAATATAATTTGATCAAGCCTTTTCTACCATTCCACACTATGAAATATGTAATGTTTTTTGATTCAGGTTGATATTGTTTTGGATCAATATCGGTATTGGTTCATATTCAAAGCTGATATATAGATATTGAATCAGAAAAACAGCTGGGCAGGAAACTTCACACATATTGCCTGCTGGTGGTGGTCAGAGGGCCCTCTGGCACCTGTGCACAACAGTCTGGCTTCTGTGAGTGCGCCCCAGAGCAGCTGTGGCAAAATGATATAAAATCACAGGCCATTTTCCACGGTTCTCTTAAGTTTACCTGTTGCTTGTTTACCTTCTATTACAAGACATCCTAACCCTTCCACTTAACTTCACATTACTGTGTTCTCTCATACAGTAGCAGCCATTCAAAATGGCCCCTCCCAGTTAAACGCCAGCCCAATGGCAGTCCACTTCCCTGCAATTTCCAGCGAAATCCCCTCCAACTTCCAGCCACTGGAGTGACCCCCTCTTGCATATTTTCTTACTCTGACTCCACCCATTCACTGAACTACAGGGTCTGAGCAGCGCATGCCTGCACTATAGAAACAAACTACAGGTCGTATCAACCGTCCAGTCACTAGTCAATAGTCTTATGACTCTGTAGGCCACAAACATGTTCAGAGCGTCCGACTTCAGACTTTATCAGAGGCTAAATTATAAAATACATTTCTAATTTACACATTGGGGTGTTGGTGGGTTCATTATACCTCAGATGGAGTATTTAATACTGAGATAGAAGAACGTATTTAGCACAAAGTGACTGAACTGAAGACAATGTAGATCAGAGCTGGTGATAAAGTTGTATTAAGGGACCTGTTTTTTAAATCAGGAAGAAATGATGTCTGGGGTGTTGAGTTTTGATCTCTCCACTGGATTTCTCAATCAGCTGAGATGCTTTTGGGAAATACAGCCTAGAAATTGAAGTAATTAAAGTGAATTAAAGTATTCCTTGTTGTCAGGCGAACTCTTTCCTTTCACCAGCTCACCTCGCCTGCATCAGTTGATCTCCTTCTTCAGGTATTTCTTCATAACTGAAGCCACGTCTCCCCCCTCACTCCCCTCCGCCTCCAGTCTCTCTCCTTGCGGCTGTTCGAATCTTCGTCGTGGCCCGCTACCTTGGGAGCTTCCCCCTGAGCTGGAGGACTCAGTCTCAGAGCCTCTCCTGCTACGTGTGGAAGGCGGCAGCTCTCCAAAGTGGACGCTCAGCGCCCTCCTGGTTCCTCTGATTGAGCTGGCCAGACTGCTGGTGGATTGAGCTCTCCGTATGGCGGGCAGGATGTCTGAGGCCGCATCGTCAAAACCATCAGTTAAACGGCGGCTTTGGAAGACCATGGGTTCTGACCCCAGAGATCCTTCACCTCCGTCTGTAGCCATGACACTTTCCAGCATGCAACGCCGCAGTGGCTGCGGCGAACGCTGCATTGTCACGGATCGCAGCGGTTCGTCGTGGTCCTCCTCAGGGATGGACAGGGAAGGAGGATGATGATGGCGAGCAGCGAGAGAGGATGACAAAGAGGACAGACGGGGCAGGGAAGGGAGGGAAGAGGCAGAGCTGCTTGAGTTCAAGCGAGGAAGCTTGGTACCGGCTGCAGATACCTCAGAGTCGGCGACAGAGCGGGCGCTAGCGGCGCGTGGCAACAGAGGAGATGGAGGTTTGAGGATGCTGGGACCAGGTCGGGGCTCCTGGACGTCGGCTGGACCGAGAGAAAGAGCCGAGGCTCTTCGCCTGAGTGTGGACGCTCCCGTCGTTTGATAAATGGGAAGGGACACGGCGCTGCCCGCTCCGTCCACCATCTCAGTGCTCGCTCTGCGCTTACGAAGTCCATCCAGCAGCTCAGACAACGCTGAGGAGGATGGAGCTCGGCTGAGATGTCTGGAACCAGCGCCTCCTAAGTCAGAACCCTCATCATCAGGATCCAAACAGGAACTGCAGATGAACAAGAGAAAAATGTTGAAAGAAGCAACTAAAACAGTATTAACAACACGTTTATCAAAGTGACTTGATTTAGAGTTTGTGTCCAGTTTCTTTTCTTCCAGTGTTCAGAAAGTTTTCACCTTCTGCTGGTATGGGGTGATTTATTTATTTTTTTTCAATATTGTCAAAAGGAAAA